CAACAGCCTGGTGTCCTCAGGGAGGGAACTGCTCCACCAGGAAACCCCAGAGAATGGAGCAAAGAGAAACCAGGCACTTAATAATGGAACATCCCTGTCCAAGTAGACTTTGTAAGTCTGAATTCTTGGGGATGCCAGAAAAAAAATAATTAGTAGAATCACACAATCCCAGGATGGTTTGGTTTGGAAGGGACCTTAAAGATCATCTCATTCCACCCCCTGCCATGGGCAGGGACACCTTCCACCAGCCCAGGGTGCTCCAACCTGGCCTTGGACGCTTCCAGGGATCCAGGGGCAGCCACAGCTTCTCTGGGCAACCTGGGCCAGGGCCTCCCCACCCTCACAGCCAAGAAACCCAGAATCCCATCTATCCCTGCCCTCTGGTAGTGGGAAGCCATTCCCTGTGTCCTGTCCCTCCATCCCTTGTCCCCAGTCCCTCTCCAGCTCTCCTGAAGCCCCTTTAGGCCCTGGAAGGTGCTCTCAGGTCTCCCTGGATCCTTCTCTTTTCCAGGTGAACCCCCCCAGCTCTCCCAGCCTGGCTCCAGAGCAGAGGGGCTCCAGCTCTTGGAGCACCTCCATGGCCTGTCTGGACTCATTCCAACAGCTCCTTGTCCTTCTGGAGCTGGATTCAGCTCTCCAGAGGGGACACCCAGATAAGAGGCAAATCAGGGCAGGGACACCTTCCACTAGAGCAGACTGCTGGTGGAATTCCACAGATCCAAGGCAATTCCCAGCCAGACTGCAGGTCCTGCCTCATTACCCACACTGGGGAGCAGAGCCAGAAAAACACGACGGGCAGGAAGAGCTTGGAAAAGATTCTGGAATCACAACCCTCTAATACTGCAGGATTTTCAACCTGCCCTTCTGCTGGGGGAAGGACAGAGCTGGGCTTGTCTGCAGTTCTTCACGGGCAACTTCTTCCCAAGTCTGACATCATTTGACTTTCCACACCATCCATGAACCATAAGATCTCTCTCCTTTTTTTTTTTTGGAAGGTGACAACAGACATATTCCTGGGAGGTGACGTGTTTAATTAGTATATCTGTCATTGCAGTCAGGCCTTTTGTTGGTTTTGACTCTTGGAAGGCTCAGGATGGTGGAGTGTTAAGAAATACTTGGGAACTCCTGACCCTTAGAGATATTTCCTCCCGGGGATCTTGGGAGTGCAAGTTTTTCTGTGGTAACTTCTGAGTGTATTTAACAGCATCACCCACTGATCTTTCTCTGACACAGGTAATCATGGAAACAAAAAGACAGTTTCAATCATCCTCTGGAAAAGGACACCATGATTTCCCAATATACACGAAATAAATGGTTTAATTTCTTTGGACTTTTAATCCAGACCCACTCTGTTTATACCGCAAGAAAATTAAAGTGAAATATGAAGGAAAAAAAAAAAAGGAAAAGCAACAAGCTGCAGCCATTTAGTAGAGCTGGACACCGGAGCTTTGAGACTTAAATTACTTTTGTCCTTCCCAGATTTCTGCTCATTTCCTCAAGCCTCTAATTAGCCAAAATCTGTAAAATGGAAGTTTTCTCTTTCTCACCCTGCAGCAGCAGCAGGGAGAGGATTTGGGGACCGTGACTTTGCAGCGAGGAGGTTCAACCATCTCCAGAGGCCTGCATATCAGAATTCCAAGGCATGGAATAAAAGGGGAAAAAAATCTAAGAGAGCTTTGGCCCTTTCCCCTAAATTTTCAGGCTGCAGGCACTGTGAAAGGTTTGGTTGAGTGAGGGCAGCAACAGAGCTGGTTCTGCTCAGGGATGAGGTAACTGTGATCCCTCCACATCCTCGGGGAGGAAATGAACTCGTCCAACACCAACCAGAGAACTTCAGGCAGGTGCTTGTTGCTGCCTCTGGCTCTGGGCAGGGGAAAAAAGGGACAACTTAAGGACAGCCTGAAGCCACCACGGCGTCAGCAGCAGAAGAGAAGGAAGATCAGGAAATAAAAGGCCAAGGAAAGATGTGTGAAGGAATAGGGAACGTGAGAACTCCAGGTGAATAAGAACATCAAGGTTGGGGGTTTGACCTCCATGAGGGGAACTCACTTAAGGGTTGGACTCCGTGGTTCCTGTGGGTCCCAGGGAAGGAGTTGACCATGTCACCTAAAATGATGTGAGAAACACATGTGCAAATCAGTCATCCCCTCTGTCCTCAGCCTGGCTGGATGTCAAACCTTTTCTGTCTCCTCATCTCCCTCGGGACTTCCCAAAAATCTCCAAATAAAATTATGTCTCCACTGAGCTCTATGAATATAGATGGGCTGTGTGTAAACTCTAATATTCAGTGTGTGAGGGCCTTGCCTGTTGAGATCTTCACCAAAAAAACCCAAACCTGGCCTCAAAACCATGATGAAAATGTGCAGATTAACCACAAGGAATCAGAGAATCATAGGCTGGCCTGGTTTGGAAGGGACTTAAAGCTCACTTTATTCAATCCCTTGCCATGGGAAGGGACATTTTCCACTAGCCCAGGTTGCTCCAAGCCCAGTCCAACCTGGCTTTGAGCAATTCCAGGCATGTGGCAGCCACAGCCTCTTTGGAAAATCCAATTTCAAATTCAGTAATTCAGTAATATTCAAATTCAGCAATATTCAAATTCAGCAATATTCAAACTCTCAAATCACTTCATGAATTGGGAGGGTACTAAATGTCCTAAATTCTTGCTCCAGATTATTTCAGTAACATCATCAATTCAATTCTAGCACTATTGACATTGTTCAGTTCTTTAGCACAGAGGTTGTCCCACAGACTGATCATTCTACAAATACATTCAGGTCACATGTTTGGGCAAGAAAACTCTGTTTGAGGACTAGTTACAAACCACCAAGGATTTCATTACAACAAACACCTCAACTCTCTGTCTGGGTCTCTGTCCCAGTCTCCAACAACCTTATATTTCTTTAGCCTTACCTGAAATATCCCTCCATTAATGACCACTGGGATCAAATGACTCCATTATAAAGAAACACAGATTAAATTCTGGCTGGGCTGGTGCAAGGAATACACAAAGCAAAGTGTGATTTCAAGCAGCAAAATTGTCCTGGGTAAGTTGCCCACGGGCTGGGCCAAGTTTGCCTCTCCCCAGGCTGTGGGAAGGAAAGTTGGTTGTGGTTGTTGCCACCAACGAAATGTGTTATTCTGAGCAACACCTGGCACTCCCAGGAGTAATAACAATAATAATAAAAATAATTTTTTGCTTCCTCTCCTCATAAATTGCCCAGAAAGACCAACACAATGCAGGGGAAGTGCTGGAACCTGGTTGTGCACATCAGAGGTGAAATCTGGGCTCTGAAAGGAGCTGGGGAATGAAGTGCCTTTGAGACCTTGGCAATTTTTAATTTTTACATAATTGGGGTTCTTCTGAAGCCCAGGTTAATTACACAACAGACACTGGAGTCAAGGATCCTTCTGGGTCTCTTCCAACTCCAAATATTCTGTGTGGTTCTGTGATTCCACTGAAGAGAAGTCCTAGATATCAATAAATAATCTACCACAAATCCTTGTGGGGCTGTGTGGACCTACTCAGGATCCTTTGGAACTACAAAACACTTGTAAAAAGCCTCAGTGAAGCCACAAATTCACTGGAACTTTTCATTCCTCAGAAAAAAAAATTGCTGTTCCCTCTGGATCTCCCACGGATTCAGACAACTCTGAAACACAGAGCAGGAAAATTCAGCCCTGCCTCCACTTCCTTGCTCTTCCCCCTTTCCCATGGATTGCAATTCCCTGTGTTCATTGTCCTGCCCCTCTCTGGTGAAACTTCCCCCCAGCTGCACCATAAAACTGCAGGATAATCCAAGTTGGAAGGGACCTCAGGAGATTATCCCCCCACCCTGATAAAAGCAAGGTGAGATTAGGATTTTAGGAGAAGGTACTTTCTTGGGAAGTGTGGCTGGTTCCAGAGGAAGAAGGGATCTGTGTGGCACGACAGACTCCACAGCTGGAGTGTGGTAATTCCATAGGGAATTCCTACCTGGGATATATTTGCTTCATGAGCTGGATTAGGTGGAATAGGAGAGGTTTATTGGATTTTAGGGTTTTGTGGCAGCCCATTCCTCATCTGAAGAAACAGCAGCTGGAGTTATGGACAGGAGACCTCAGCAGAGAGGAGGATTCAAGTCTGGATCTTCACGGTGTCCTTGGAAGAGCCAGGGAACAACACTGGACCAGGGATCTGCTGGGAAGAAACAGCTGAGGAAACATTATCAGTGTCCTCTCCAGTCCAGGAGGTGGCTGCTCCCATAAAACAGCCCTGCCGAAAGCCAGGAATTCTGGACTTCCAAACTTGAAAGGACTTTTGTGTCCCAGGTCTAAAATTAAGCTCGTGAGAGGCAGCTCTGACAGATTCCAGTGCTTAGGATCAAATCCTGACTGAACATCCCATTCCACGTCCAGCTCACAGAACCAAGGACTATCCTGAGCTGGAAGGGACCCCCAAGGATCATCCAGTCCAACTCCTGGCCCTGCACAGACACCCCAACAATCCCACCCTGTCCCTGAGGGTGTTGTCCAAACCTTCCTGGAGCTCTGGCAGCCTTGGGGCCGTGCCCACTGCCCTGGGGAGGCTTTTCCAGTGGCCAACAACCCTCTGGGGGAAGAACCTTTTCCTGAGATCCAACTTCATGTTGTTCCTCCTGTCCTGTCACCAGAGAGAAGAGCTCAGTGCCACCTTGTCACCTCTGGCGAGAAAATTCCCCCTCATTTTGCTTGTTTGCACGTATTAATTAAGATTTACCTGATTAGTCATTTTCCAAGATTCCCACTGCTTCCTTAGTCTGGATCTTCTCCATTTTGAATTTCAAAATATCCAGAAAAAACCCAGTGGGGATGAAGCACAAGCTGGAGGGTGAAACACTCCCTAATTTCTGTTCCTCCTTTGCTCATCCTCAGCCAACTCACTGGAGAAAGACCCTGACATCCCTAATGGAGCTAAATCCACAAGGAATTCCGATCCCAGAAAAAGATGTCTGACCTTATTTCATATTTAACAACCTCCTGAGATGGCTCCAGTGTCAATTTTAGGTGTGGAGGGAGGATATCAGGGAATGCTGCTGGGCCAGAACCTTGGACAGGGCCTGCTGTGCTCTTCCTGCTGGAAGGATCCTTCCCTTTCCTGCTTGGAAACACACAGGAATTGAAGTGGAAAAGGGAGATTGTTCAGATTAATCACCCTGCAAAACTTTTATGGCGTCGGTGTTGGAATTTTACAGGCTGCTAAAGGGAAAAAAAATGCTTTTCCCTTATTTTTGACTTTTGAAAGGGGGGAAAAAAGGAGGAAAGGAAATTGTAAATATACTGGAAAACAAAATTGTGTCAGGCATATTATTTTCTTTTCCTTTTTCCTTCTTTCTCCCCTCCTGCTTTCTCCCCTTCTCTCCAATAATTTCAGATACAATTTTAGCAGTAAAATACCAGACTCAACAATGGGACAGCTCAGAAAGATGAAATAATTCAGGTTCAGCCCCAACTTTAGTGTAGCTACAAGACTTTCAGATCCCATGGGGCTGGTTCATGGAAAAAGCAGCCCCAGAGCTCGTGCAACATTCCTGCTTTTAATGGGAAATAGAGGAGTGATGAAAAGGTTATTCCCACTTCCAGGTTGTCTGGAGGCCTTGATGACCTGAAATATGGGCTTAAAGACACCAGGTCAAGAAATATTTCAGATTTCAAACGCTCCAGGGCCCGTTAAGTGAGAAGAGAAAGACACAGAAACCAAACATGAAAAATTAAAGCCACGGGACTTGAAATAATTGGAAATTTAAGACAAAAGGCTCGTCCAAGGTTTGATGTCTCCAGGTTCGGATCTGAGGGGAGGTTTTGGCCAAGCACTAAATTTTCCCAAGGAATTCCTAGTTGTGAGTGGTTTGAGGTTTTTTGTTTGCCTGCTGGAAGCGTTTTGAAGCTGCTTTTTCATGGATCACTGGAAGACAGTAGCAGTTTGGGAATCTCTGTGCTTTTGGCAGACATTCCCAAGTCAGACAGCCACGGGAAGTGACTATTCCAGCTCTTGGCAGCGGAGATAAAAAGGGAGCCTTTTTGGTCAGAATTATATAAAAAACAGCGAAGTTTTATCCCTCCCAAAGCTGTGATAAATCAATATTTTAATCCCGTTTTAATAATTGAGTCAGTGAGGAAGAAACAAAGAAAATGTTCTACTTTCTTCTTGAAATATTTGCAGCAGGACCAAAAGCAAGATATCCCAAAATTGGAAGTGGGAATCCACGTCAGTTGTTTTGTTTTTTTTTTTATCCTTGCTTGTTTTCAAATAAAGCTCCTCCTTCACAGACACTTTAACTGAGCTGCCCAAAATTCCTTTATAGGGTTTAAATATGGATGGTTTCAATGAATTACTTATTTTTATTAATATAATAAATATAAATACTATAAATAGAAATATAAATAATATAAATATAAATACTATAAATATATATTCTATGATATATACATAAATATAAATATAAATATAAATATAAATATAAATATAAATATAAATA